AAATTTTTTTTGTCACAATATTACGATTTGTTATATTGAAATCAAAAGGATAAACGAGAGAAGTGCAATGTAAATTGCGCATTAAATTATATTGACAAAATACCTATTATGTAAAATAATTGGCACATAAAGATCTTCTATCGAAATTATATAAGCAGGTAAAATTGGAGACTGCCAAAATTATCAAGATGATCAAAATGTCAATATGTTTTGTCAATATAAATTTGATTACGTATTATGATTTAATTGATTACGTACTTTTAAGTTTTTGCATGAAACCCTAATGCTGAACATTGGGATTGTTACTATATTAATAAAGTGTAAGATTAACTTAAGTGTAACATTATCTACTAACTTATTGTAAAAACGTTCGAAGTATGTATAAAGGAATGTATAGTGAATTTCTTAGACTTTTAAAAATTTCATCATTTTGGTCATAGAAGAAAATAATATTCCCTTATCACATAACTTCATACGCGATTATTTCATAGAAAATACTGCGTTGTAATACTGCGTCAATGCATGCGAAGTATAATCAACGACATTTACAGTAAAATCTATATCTTATTTCAAAGCAATATTCCCGATTAATCAACGCTCTTATTCCAACCAACGATCTTATTCCAAGCAACGATCTTATTCCAAGCAACGATCTTATTCCAAGCAACGATCTTATTCCAATTGTCATCTCAGATCGATTAGAAAATCATAAATGTAATTATATATGTATATAATGTTATATGAAACTTAAATTAAACATGAAGAGGAACACATGTTTTTTAAAAAAATACATTTTTGCTTTAATTTTTTTTTTTTTTGATTATTTTGATTGAATTAATATGACAATTACATTTATAGAAATAATTAACGATATAAAAGGAAAAATGATCTTATATTTGCGTCGCGAAAGCACAGCTGGAACGAATTTTTTCTATTCTTTCTGAATAAAAAAAGATTGTTGCTGTGTATCGAAAATATTATAATACATCTCTGTTCTTTGCGTAGAAATTCGTATCCACCAGCATTAGACGAAGTACGCTGCCCTATCCGGAGCTATACACGTGGCGTGGATGTGTAAAATTCGTCAATGATTACATCGAATATCAGCCACTGGATGAACATTTTCTTATGGTAAGTAAATAAAGAAGAAAATAAAACCTTTTATATTAACAAGAGCGATCTAAGGTTTTCTTTCTTATATGATTTCTCTTTTTCAATAAGACGAATGTCGCGCGCAATCTGAGTAATTTTTACAATCGTGATACAAATATGATACAATTTATCATATATACATTATCGTGATACAAATATGATACAATTTATCATATATACAGATAAATATGATACATTTATAATATGATACAAAAAGTCTTGATAAGGAAAAGTATAATAACTTCGTAAACTTAATTAAACATAAAAGTAACCTACCCTAAGAGGTAGAAAAATATAGGAAAGAGTGTGCCCGCGGGACTCTATGAATATCGCGTCCTTGTTTTCGTCCTCACATACCGATAAAAGACGCAAATAAAACAAAAAAGGAAAAGATAATAAATGACCGATTTATCCGATCCGTCTGATCTATGTAACATGACATACGCTTATATACATAAATTATACAAATCTGTATATCACCCCCCTTTCTTGTACACCGTATAAATATACATTCTCGTATGTACACAATTCACACCTACGTACGCAAACATGTAAATATGTACATATGTACATATGTATATATTATATATATATATATATATATATATAAATAATATATACACATGTACATTATATTATTATTATTATTATATTATTATTATTATTATTATATATTATTTCATATGTA